CTCTGCTCCTCCTCACCTCCTTTCTCTCCTCTGTCTGCCTAGACAAGCCTCCTCCCTCCACCCCCCCCTCACTCTCTCCTCACCCTTCTCCTTTCTTCCTTTTACTCCCTGTAAATGCTTTCTTATCATGTTCACCTCCTTCTATCGTTTTTTCTACCCCTTCCTCCTTCCTCTCTTTCCCATCATCTCTTCCTGAAGCTGTGACCCCTCTTAACCCTATAGATTACACACACACACACACACACACACACACACACTGACACACACGGAGGGAACCCCTTAAACCCCTCAGGCTTATGTGGGCCCCTTTAGACTTTGAGAGGACACACACTGGTACCCATAACCCCCTACACACACACACACACACACACAATATCACACACTCTCAAACTGCCTTCCTCAAGTCTTGACACTGATCTAAGCCCTTAGCACACACTGCCTGAGACTATAACCCCCTCAAACTACACACATACACACACACACACAGCCTGAGCCTATTAAGCCAATCGTAGAAGTCTAAACAGGCAGCGAACTGAGCAGTGAGGTAGGTAACCCCTCCGGGCCACAGAGAGAGTAAAACAGAGTAAAAGAAGGGAAAAGAGAAAGAGGGAGAGGGAGGAAGGGAAGGGGAGAGAGTATGAGGTGGAGCAAGGGTGAGAAAGACCATGAAAGAGAGCGATGAGCAAAGGGGAAGTGGAAGTGTGGGAGGAGAAAGAAACAGAAAAAGAGGAGATGAGGATGTTGAATGATTGAGAAAAAGACAGTAGATACAAGGAGGAGAAACTGAATGGCAGCCCCACACTCACACACACACACACACACACACACACACACACACACACACACAAGAGGAGGAGAGTGGATGTGGCTCTTTAGGAGTCAAGCAGGCGTATGATAGGATATCGTTGCATGTCGTTAACCCTATATTAACCCTGAGAGGCAGCGGGACACTCACTGTGCTACAACATGGATTAACTGGGCCACACACACACTCTCTCTCAAACACTCACACACACACACACACACACACACACACACACACACAGACACTGGTCCGATGAGCAAGCTGTCTGTCAAACACATACACACACACAAATGCACACAAGGACTGATATCCTCACTGACACCATGCAATGAGCTGTCAATCACATGTAAACACTCTTTTCTCCATTTCTTTCACCTGTTTTTTTTTTTACCCACGAATAAGTGCAGGAGTCAGTAGCATGTTTGGACGTTTTATATAATATCACAATAAAATGGCATTTTGACGTCATCTTATTTTCTTTATTTTATGTATTTCCTGTTAAACCAGGAAGTTGGAGACAACATGCTGACAGGAAGGGTAGCATTCTTTAAAGAAAATGGTTTTATTGGTTCAGCTCACTGTTTACTCCACTGTTGGTCTGGGGGAGAGTACTGGCATGTGTTTCCTCCAATAAACATGGAGTCACGCCACCCGCTCGTGAGGAGCTTCAACAGGATGGCGTAACATGTATGAAGGTGCATTCTCTGTCCCAGATCCCACACTCCTCTGTCCAGGAGCTATAAAGAGCCAATGGGAGTCATTAATGCGGTGACGAGAGCATAATCCCGCACTAGCTGGCTCATGTCAGAAGAGCACAAACAATGTCACTGATATAAATGCAATCCTTTATTCCTGGCTTTCAGGGCTTCCCCCTAAACAGCAATGATTCGAGTCATCAGTGAAGAAGCCGCAGAGTCGACTCACATTTTGTAAGTTTAATCATTGGTCTTTTCATTTGCACACAGAACAACGCAGGAAAACAGCACAGCAGGCTGTACACTTTATAAACCAAGTCTCAAAATTGTCAAACAACAAGACTAACTGTAATGGAAATAAAGAAGATGTAAACAGAGGGCGACGCAGTGCAGAGCAACTTGTTGTTCTAAACTGTGGTGCTGAATACTACTTTTAATCAGCGACGGAAGAAGAACTCAAAGCCTTTACTAAAGTAACTGTAGAAAAAACATGGTCTCAAAACATTCAATTAGATGTAAAAGTCCTAAATTCAAAATGTTGCAAGTACAGAGGTATCAGTCTACTTAAAGTATCAAAAGTAAAAGCACTTATTATGCACAAAGATTATTCTGTTTTTATCACTAAGGGAATTTAACACGTGTAGCCAGTTTTACATTGCAATGGTGCTGCATTACATACATTGTATACTACTGGTAAAGTAACTAGAAACCAAATAAATATAGAGTAAAAAGTGCATTATTTCTCTCTGAAAGTGAACGTAGGAGTATAGTATAGGCTATAAGTATAAAGTATAGAATGGTACAAATACGTCAAAATTGTACTTAAGTACAGTGCCAGAGCAAATGTACTTAGTTACTTTTACAACTACCACTATTAACATTAAATAAAAAAATAACACATTATTTTTTACTGTATAACGACTGCATGTGATTTCAGTTGGACTTCCAAAATATTTGCTTGTTTACAAGCAGTGGCTCACTTATAGCATTTTGACTTTCTCTCTCTCTCTCTCTCTCTCTCTCTCTCTCTCTCTCTCTCTCTCTCTCTCTCTCTCTCCACATGTTTGGTTCGGACAGCAGAGTTCCAGATGTTAAACTGAGAGGCTGTGAACCGCTGCGAAGTAGAGGGGGGATACAGGAAGTATCCCACGGTATCCACGGTAACCTTGACATTCCATCCTGACCAAGTTCCCTGACATCTCCCACAATTCACTCTGCTCCTCTCCTCCAGCCACGAAACACACACGCATGCAGACACAAACACACACACTAATAGTGCCCAAACATCAATGCTTAAAACAGTCCAGTAACACAAATATTATTATTATTATATATTATTTTGTAACTTTGTGTCTAATATATCACCTATTCTTTCAGTGGCCCAACCCAAGTCACACACACACATACACACACAGCTTCCAGGCGAATATATAATGGGGTGTAAACTGAGATGTCTGAGATAGCCGACAAAAACAGAAGTATGTGGCTGTGGTGTAAAGATACTATAATGTCCTGCACACACACCCACACACACACACACACACACACACACACACACACACACACATACATAAATGACACAACTGTGTGTAGCTGTCGATCATGAAGCCTTTTGCTCTTTGTGTCTTACATAGGACACACACACACACACACACACACACACACACACACAAACTGATATTTGTGTGCTTTGAAATAGCTCCATCAAAGCTCACTTTGAGACACAAGTGTTTATCCACTTCATAAGATTTCTCCAAACACAAAAATAAGTAGGGGGGAGGAGGGAGGGGAAGTGAGAGAGAAAGGAGAGCAGAATCCTTAAAGCTAAAAAACGGGAATTAAGGGCTTGACTTGAGAGGGGAGTGGAGAGAAACATTTTAACTACTGTTTACATATCATCAAAAATGGAATTTATGTTAATGGGGTCAGGATATAATAAATACAATATAATACTATTTGTGTTAAGAGTGAATTAAAAAAGTAAAAAAAAACAATATAAATACACACTGACTGCAACAAATACTTGACACCTAAACCTATTGTAACATTTGTCTTTGATTTGATAAAAAAATCTATCTGAAACATATGTTTTCTCTCTGGTCTTTGGTGGAAGACAAATCAACTAATCAACTACTACAATACTACACAAATGGCTGTATCAATTGTCAAAACTGTCCTAAATAATTGCCTTGGGGTTAAAATCTTACTCCCCGCCAAATTCCAAGAATCAGAAACTGATCTAATACTTTTATATTTTGATAAAAATGTAATTTAAGAAAATTGTCTTTACTCAAAGCCGTAACCATAATTATTAAACTGAAGGGAGAAAGCCTGAGTATCCCTAAAGGTAGTTAGTCAATTATACCTTAAAAATACCAGGCATGTATGTTCACATAATCATAGATTTTTACCTTACATCAGGTTATATTGTGTCATATTTACTGTAATATTAATCTCCTTTAAAAATGACTTCTATTTCCATAGAAATGTACATTAATTCTATATATTGTACCGTGAGCCGTGAGTTAAGGTGGATTTTATCTTCTGCTGGTTACAAGAACAAAGAGAAAAGATTACTTGGTTCTCTGATAATGTGTTGAGAGTGATGCAAATCAGCAGCCTTTCACTCCAGTCTCTGTAAATTACTCTTCCAAACACACACAGAAAAACCTGCTCACAGAGGGTTAAAACAACTGCCAAGAAGAAATCAGATTAAAATGAGGTTGGATCTCATTTCAGTTTTTCTCTGTCACTTTTTTCTTTGCTCATGACCCATTTTTCTGTGCTGCTGCAGGAGAGACGAAAGGGGGGGGGGTAAGGGAGGGACAACTTCAGTCCTCCACCTCGACAGACAGACAGGAATAAAGAGAAGGTGGCAGTGAAAACGACAGACAGCTTCTGCTTGTAAACAGCTCTGTATTTTGCATTACGTAGAGGAAACACACTCATCTGAACGCTGTTTGTTCACTCAAGTCTGAAGCTGTGCATTGGTGTGTATTCGTGTGCGCACGTGCCAGAACCTGCCAGATATGAGGTAGTAGCTGAGCAGCTGATGTGCATTTGTGTCCCCTCTGCACAGGTCAATGACCATGTCACTGAAATGCACATGCACATGTAAATGAAACGTGTGTGTGTGTGTGTGTGTGTGTGTGTGTGTGTGTGTGTGTGTGTGTGTGTGTGTGTGTGTGTGTGTGTGTGTGTGTGTGTGTGTGGACCTTTAATTCCTGTACATTTCAGCCATTCATCACCTCTGACGAGTCCTGCTGTTTGACTTCAGTCTCAAATGTTTCACTCTTCTGTCTTCCATCAGAAGCCATCTATTCTATCTAAGGAACCTCTATTTCAGGAGTGACAGCAGATCATCTAAACACACAAACATCCCGTCACACGCCACCATTCAAACAGGTCAACACAGTCCCTTATCCAGTATGTGTGTGTGTGAGTGAGTGAGTGTGTGTGCACAGAAGAGAGAAAGTTAGAGATGGAGTGAGAGACGGTACCTGTCGATGATAACAGGGTCTGAGGGTGTCTCATTACGGTTTCCGCAGCTCTTCTTGTCACAGCACCGACTACGAGAACAAAATGACAGCAGAAGAAAAAGACAAAAAAGAGTCAGACACAAGGAACATACAGTACATTATATGGGAGTTCAAATTTAGATGTTTAAATGGGAGTGTTACAGCATATTATGTGCTTTGTCTGCACTGATGTAGAACACTTAACATTAAATTCAGAGACATTGATCAGATCTGTCTAAAACAGGCCAACAAGAAAAGTCTGCAGTGCTGAGCAGGTCTACACTGAAAGCACGGACAAAAATAGACTTATATGACATGGAAAATGAGTGTAAAGCAGGATCTGAAAAAAGTACACTGAGTTTTTAAAGGACAAACCAGCCGGTGAGGTTAGCCATTTTGTGATACGTTAGTGGTTTAGATTCCGAGGTTTTATAACAGATATCAGCAAAGATACAAGTGGATTAAGACTTCCACGGGTTGTTTCATTTCCATGATCCCCAATCTATTAAAATTGAGGTTATAGATAATATCTACTTTGAAGCTCTGGTCGCTGCATCTTTTCCAATTTTACTGACCAATTGCTGCTGCGCTGCATTGCTTATTGCTGATACATGACGGTGTGCCTGGGGGCGGTGTGAATACATACACATCCAGCTGTTTCTTTTCACACCTGCCAGCATAAGGTGCGTCCCAGATCAGATTCTTTACCCAAATGCCCCAACCAGTCATCAATCAAGGAGTCGCTTGTGCAGTCAGACTGTCCTCCTATGAAAAACGACTCCATCGTTTCAGCAAGTGCCCCAAAACGACTTTTAGTTTACATTCAAGCAACAAAACCCTGTTGCGGCCATAATTACGACTCTTATCCGTGGGGAGAATAAGGAGGACGTAAGGAGTTGTTATTATAGAGCCACAATGTCACAGAGGGTGAGTGTCTGGGTGGACGAATGGGACACTGCTGTTCGTTTTTCAGTTTCCTACTGACAGTCAACATTGGTTTCTTTTAAGCATGACCACGATTGTTTCCTAACATTAAGTACGTGTTTATTATTGTAACCATGATGACGAAGGTCTCCTAACCTTAACAAAGCAGTCATTTTAAACTAAACCACAATGTTTCCCTAAACCCAACCAAATCTTAACAACAGCATTGTCATATCATAAAACTGATTTCTTTTTCAGCTGTTTCAGAAGACACAAACAACGTCATGACATTTTTTTCCTTCTTTATAATCACTTAAATATCCTTTTGTTTAGGGCTGGGTTCTGATATCCAGCTTCTTTGTGGATCTCTAAATTGATGATATGTCTGGTTGTTGTTAAGATGCATGTCCAACAAATCTTTTAGTTTTTGAGTGGAACAAAATACACAAACCAGGTCGTTCAGTCAGTTAGTCTCCCTAAAGAATGAACCAATGGAGCTTCATACTAGTCATATTTTTAAAAACTGTGTAATGTCTCTCAGCTCAATTGTAGCGTATTGCATTCACTTGAACATTTATTTTTTGGTTTGTTTTTCGGAGTAATTATTTGTGTTTTTCTGAGTATTTTTTTTTTTTTGGTTTGTTTTTCGGAGTAATCGGCAAACATAACCGGCTTGTTTAGTTCAATCAAGTTATACTTTGATCTGGGTTGAAGACGCTGGGAGATAGTCCTGAGTTAAGTCATATAGATGGTATTATCATTAGTTTGTCAAGTCTACGCAGGCACCTGAGGACTTTGCGGTTGTTCAGAAGGAAAGCCCATTCAGATCTGCTAGACACAGCAATATATACATAGCAAAATTGACCCAGTACAGTAGATAGTTGAAGATGGGGCATGTATGTGCGGGCAGGAGTCACCATAGGTCCATGGGAGTCACTTGCAGGTTGGAGGTTCTCGTGGGAGTTTGAAGAAAAAAAATGACTCCGAAAAACAGGGGGAAAAAAAATTACCACGAAAAAATGAAAAAATTACTCAGAAAAACAGAAAAAAATTACTCCGTAAAACAGGAGAAAAAATAACTCAGAAAAACAGAAAAAAATTACTCCGTAAAACAGGAGAAAAAATTAGTCAGAAAAACAGAAAAAATTATTCAAAAAAACAAACCAAAAAATAAATTACTCAGAAAAAAGCTGTTGTTTTTTTTTTCAAGTGAATGCAATACGCTTCTGTACAATTGCTCTGTAGTAGTTTTGTCATATCTGAGAAAAATAATGATGTCATAGTGATGTCATCAGGGTTATCTTGGGCTGAGAAGATAGCCTTTGGCCTGTGTTACAAACTAGAGGGCTGGAGTTTGAACGACATGAGAATTTAACAGGCAGGGAGCGTCTAATGAAAGTTGCAGACAAGTTGCATTATTGGGGATTTAGGAATGAATCTTATAAGGTGTGAATATTGTTTTTTTTAAAACTTGCAAGACATACAACTTATTAGCATATGCAAGACTAAATCAAACAGTGCACTTTTTTGAGATTTGAAGTAACATTTTCTTTAGTTTTGAACCCGTAAACACATTTTTTACTATGCAAGTCTTTTTAAAACATTATATGAAAACTTCCACGACATCCAAATTGTACTGATGAACAGATGAGTGAACAGGAGGGTGGAAAGGACTGAAGGGCCCTGAGGCTCAGAGGAGTGGGACACACACATACACGTACATAAACACACACACAGGTTTTTAAAAAAAAACAACTGGCATGTGCACCAAAATTCACACATATGTACTACGAGTCTGTCAAAGCTTTCTTGTGCGCATCAATTATGAATAAAGGAATAAGCGGGAGGGGAAGAATAAAGCCAGGGGGGAAGAGTGAAAGGGTGAGCGTGGGAGGGAAAACTAAAACAAGAGGGTGGGAAGAAGAGGAAGGGGAGATGTCTCAGGTTTCCCCCTGTCACAGATGGCAGAGGAGGAAAGAAAGGGGCTGATACGTTACACCTTAGACATTGTCTCTACTATCTGCTGCTCTGCCTCTCTTTCTGCTCTCTCTGTCAATTCCTTTCTGCTGCTCTATGAACTGGGTCACTTCGTGGCCCCGTCGGAGAACAGCGCAGCACCAGCGAGAGGTTACAGGGGAGGAAAATGGGGAGCACGTGAAAAGAGGAACGCTATAAGCCTGAGGAGGGAGGGAAGGATGGGTGAGGGGGAGGAAGTAGATGAGGAGGGGAGATTAGGGAGGACAGTAGAGGATGAGAAGAAGGGAGCAGAGTGGAAGATGTTATAAATGGAGGGGTAGTGGAAAGGAAAACGAGGGGAGGGATGGGGGTAATGTAGCACTTATTGCTCTGGATCCTGGTGATCTAATCATCTGCCCTCACCCCTGCATCTCCCCTCCTCCCACCACACACACACACAAACACACACACACACACACACACACACACACACACACACACACACACACACACTTTAAACAATAGAGTCTCAATAGCATGAATTGGAGATGCCATAGACATATTAACTGATAATGAAAATGATCGCTAGTTGCATTCATAAAGCAAACTAAGATATTTTGTTACAGAAATATGAGTAAAATACTACAACAAATTAACATTATCACACTTGGTGGATACTTTTATCCTATGTCGTCGGCATCTGACACAGCACTGATATCTAAAACCTTCCTATAAGAAAAATAGAAACACTCTGTCTTGAATATTTCAATACAAAAAGTCCAGCTGCATTTGTTTGCTGTTTTCTGTGTTGTCATTCCATAAAAAATACAACAATAAATGAATCTATATTTGATTATCTTTGAGTATTGTTCCCTAAAGAGATTTGTCAAGATGAAGCCATTTACAGTTCTTAGCCCTTAAACCGCTGCTGTCCAGTCATTACAAATGTGTGCAGCCAAACATTGTTCAAACTCACAGAACTTTATCTAAAATTCTACTTGAGATCCAAATGTTTCCAAAGAAACCAAATACGCTGAATTGTCTATAATCAAATAAAACGTCTATAAAATGATGCACAAAATATATAGAATGTATCCATTTGATGAAACATAAAATGTTTCACTCAGTGTAAACATCATGTACAAATATTACTGTCAGACAATGTGGAAAAAGCTCTGTTAAATACAGAGAGATTAATTCAAGCCAATATTTTTTTGCTAAACACGTGATATAAACAACACTTCTCATCCATTGTGGAGTAAAACCATTCATGTGTTCGTGCCAGAGCTCCAACCAGGTTTACGACGCAGGTCTGTGCGGTGGCAGATTGGCTGGGAGCATATGGCTAATAGCACCACCATGACAATGAGCCACACTGATTAATGGACGCCCTGAGCTCTTTGTGTGTGTGTTCTACGCTGTGTGTTGTGTGTGAGGCCCCCGCTGCAGAATCAGCATGTGAGAACATGAGGCAACAACCGTAACTTTGACCTCAGCCGCTGTTGCAGACAAGCAAGTGTTTACACTTGTCGAAGAAGTCATACTTTCTGCACTGCCGCTGAGGAAATGTTTGAATATCGGAGGAATTCCCACTGTACAAGTTCATGTATACTTTACACGTTATGCAAAGCCATTGTGTCCATAATGCATTCTCCACATGATGAACAACAATAATTTACAATAAAATCTCTTGCCAAATACAATTTATTTATAAATTCCTTGTAAATCATATCAGAATTCCAATGGGCTTTCCATAAACCTCTACAGCTGAACTGCCTGAGGATTATTCAGTGAGCTATAGAATAAAATATTAGTGTGCCTGATTTCACGGCTAAAATCCCTGCTTGTGCATATAGATGAACCCCAATTTATATTGTTACAGTTAAAGTTGTTCAGTGACAAGGTCAGGGAAAAAGAACAACTTAATTCATGTGCTAAATTTGAATTTTTATAACTGTGGTGTGCACGAGCGAGCGTGCATATGCATACTTCTTTGTGTCTATGTGTGTGTATGTGTGTGTGAGACCCTGCCTATATTTTATAGTCAGATTGTGGAGGAAGGCCCATTTGTTAGCCATGAAACAACAGGAGGGTTCAGATTGACTAATGAGTTTCTCTGTGTCCTAATTAACCAGGCGTCACAGACACACACACACACACACGCGCACACACCATGCATGCATCCACACACACATTTTCTATTGTATAGGATAGGTTGGTAAAATGCCTCTATAAATAGAACTCTTTCCTCCCAACCTACTTCCGAAGAAATTCATCTTTAGATTATAATTAAAGCAACGACTCTGATAGCGAAAACTCATCTTCCTCAACAGATATGGCTTCATGCGTATGTGTATGGATGCGTCTGGGTGTGTATGTGTGGGGGGGTTAATGAGGGTGACAAAATAAGAAATGTATCGAGTACAGAGAAGTGATTGGTGAGAACTTTCAGCAGACTAACAAAGTACGTTGCAGAAGAAAAGAGGGGAGAGGGGAGGAGAGGAGAAAGGATAGAAGGAAAAGTATAAGCTAAAACGATTGTATGAAGGTGGAGAGGAGGAAGATTTGATGCTCCCATTCTCACCTGCACATGATCTCATGTGTCAGCAACACTCTGCACATCTCTGGGTTCTTGTCTTGGCCTTCATAAACAATCGCCTGTGAAGAGAGACGAAGAGAAAGAAGAAAATACACAGTTAGATCACAGACAGCAAAATAGGATAAACACAGAGCTCGAATCCAGCAAACAGTCTCCATCCTTCATAGGGTGCTTCTTCTTGGCAAAATATGTATTTTAGTTTATGTGATTGAGGTTGTCTGTGTGGTGCGATTGGCTCAAAATTAGCCATTTAAAGGTGGGCTAAGTGAATCTTGGTAATGCGGTTTTAATCTAATACACAGTCCGCTAGCTTTCTGTACTGGAAAGGCTTCTGTAAATGGGAAAACAAACAAAGTGGATCGGACCGAGCGACATGGCACTAACTTCCAGCCAGGAATTGTGTGTCAGGTAACGTTACATTTCTTGCCCACAGAAACGTTCTAGTTTGCCAAGATATGCTGTTGTTGTGATGTAAAGTAGCGGAAGAGAGTGAGCTGGTGGTTCTGGGAAACCATTTAATTCTCTCTGCATGTTAGCTGCTCAGCAGCAACTGTAGCAGTTTAATAACCCACAACATTAGTTCCATTACTTGTTGTGTCGTTGTTCGTATTCGTCATGATATTGGATTTCTGCAGAATTGCTTATCCCACCAGTAAATTTTGCTGTGTGATGTCCATAGTAGTATAAGCAGAATTGTCTTGATGTTTTTGTTATTAAAACCAGCAACAAGGAAGTTTCATTTTTTGTTGGCCCTGGTGGCCCCGTGGACAAAAGCAGTAGTGTTTCCACTGATTTGTTTCATTGATTTCAAGGGGAATTTGTCTGAATCGGACCGGTTTATAAAAAAAACCCTAATTAATTTAAAACATCTGCTACTGTAGTGTCTAGCCAAGGTTACTCAAACAGGAGTAAATGGTGCATTTGTTGGGATGCTCAATAATATCTGAACATAGGCAGGTTGTTCATAAGCTTGTTAGAGGGAACAAAGCTCTACCAACCAGACCCTCCGATTGATACCTTTCATGGTCTGCATCAGTGCATGGATGCATAAAAACTTATTTGCATGTTTTCAGAACGCTGCACTCTACATCTACCAAAACTGGTGAGAGGAGATGGCTATATTTTGCAGCAATGTGCTGTGAGAAAATGCAATTACAATGTCACACTGTGAAAAATACTCTACCTCGGGTGTACATTTATTTTTCTTCTGTCAGTTATGGCAGCAACTCTGGCAGAGTGTTGTTGGGGTAACAGGTTAGATCCCACTTCACCTCAAAGAACACATGTTCAGCATTAACACCTCTACTTCACAAAAACACACTCACACCCTTTGTCTCCGCACTGGGCGTCTATCGCCCCATGCACACCTTGTTCACACACCTTGTTTCAGAAAATCAAATCAAAAAATAACAACCGCATCTCATCCTGTCACATGCTGATCAGGTGAATCTGAAGTTAAAAGCAATAAAATATATTCACAGAGCGGTGGCCATAGTTTCTGCTCCTCAGCTGAAGCTTTGCCTGCTTCCATTATACAATATTCCTGGTTCTGGTGAGGAAGCTCAGAATAAAGCGAAAAGCACACGTCACACACCGCTAAGCTATCTATCAATCAATACAGACGCCCTGTCTGTCTTTGGTCTATTCCAGTCTGTTTGATCTGTCGCTCCAAACTCCAGCAAGTCTCACCAAGTGACAAGCTCACTTTTCTCGGGGAACGGTGAAGAAGTTTCAGTGTCCTCTCTAATAGTCTTCAGCTGGGGTTCAGACTACCTGCTGCCATCGAGTGAACGGTTGGTTTGAGCTTGCAAATGAAGGTCATTCAGCTGTGAAAGCTTAACAACTCTAAACAACATGTAACACTTCTGCTGATGCCATCTGTGGAAAACACTGACAATACATGTTGACACATTGTGCCTACTCACTGTCTAACTGGCTTGTAATGGTCGAGGAGTGCCAAATCGAAACCTTATATCTCCAAAAACCCAACTCATTTCCCCACT